TTGAGGCAGGTGACACATACAGTTGTCGCAGAACCACTTGAAAATCCTGCAATAGCGAATTTTCTGGTCGTTTATGGAACATACACGGTGATTCGGAGTCTGTCTTGTCGGAATATTTCATACACTTCGTCCATCTTTTCTTGCTTGGTTCGGAAGGATATGCTACCTTTTTGAAGTATGAACCAGGCTTCGTAGTTAGGAGAATAACGAAATATTGTTTTGTAACTATTTTAGGAAATTTATGGTACCAGTAGGTTTCATTAAAGTGTGGCAAACTTTCCCTATTAGTTATTCAGTGGTCTACCCTGAATGATCCTCTGGATCAATTGCTGAAGTGTTAGAAGGAAACCTGTTGATCGTCGAGTTCCCTTCATTTATGTGACACTCCCAGCTGACTCTGACCTGACTCGACCTGGTCCAACGATGGTGCACGACGAGGAAATCGATCAAACAATCGTCGGGACTTCCTGTTGCGTCTGAGCTTCGTTTGCTCGTTGTTAGCACCACATTTGGAAAAAAAACGCCGTGGTCTGTTTGCATAGGATACGCGCGGTGCCAGGGCTCTAACGAACGACAAAGTCGAAGTAGCCAGGGACCATTTATCGCCGCAGCTCTCTCGGTTAGCGCGTTTAGCACCGTATCAACTGACCGCGTAATCATCGTCGTACGAACTGGAATAATGGCCACAGCGCGAGAAACACGGGGCAAGCTAAGTGAATTAGTGGTGCGTGCCCTTGCCTTTTATTTTTCTCTCTATATACCGTCTTTCTTCTCGCGTCTCGTTAAGCGCAGGCGTACTAATGACACTCTCGTCGCTCAAGAACACCGAGCACGTTCGCGTCGCGTCTATCGATTTTAAGAGAGTTTTGAGACGGCTGCCTGGCGTCCCTGACGCCGAGCTTTGTCACCGTACAAAGTTGAGAAACAACTGATCCAGAAAAATGCTGCTCGTGATTATACGTTACAGGTAGAGATGGTGTGCGAAATCACTATCGGTGATTTATCACAGTGATTGCCGAATCACGATTACGATCGTGATTTAACCCCTTGCCATACGATTCGTTTTTACGACTACACATTTTGAAGAATTATTTTATCGTTAATATTTTACCAGATACAAAGTGTATTCTATTCTTATGGCAAGTGTTACATTTATTCTAAACCTTAAATGTTTTTACAAACTAATGGCCATATGCGGCTGAAACATGTATCATTGGCTTCTGAATTCCAAGCTCGTTTACTGTGCTAAATCCTCATTAAAAAGTTAACGTTACGCCTGGGGACTTGTCTTTCTAAGTGCCGAGAAGCATTCGAACACTCATCGAGGATTTCCTATATAACAAACCAGATTAAAGTATTTCAGCACTTTATAATTGAATTTCTCGCCTTTGCTGGGCGAGTATATTACGAAATAATAACCAACTTTCCTTTCGCTTATCACATCACACAGACCTTTTCACTTGGATTTCAAGACACATCTCCGATTTAAAAGGCGCTCCATGAAATCTCCTGGGGCCCAAAAAAAATTTCATGAACATCAGTCATCGCCTGTCAGAATAATCTCCTCGTACTCGAATCGTCGATACCTTCATCCTCCCCCCCCCCCCAAAAAAAAGTCAGAAATAAAACTTCATCGTCTCCCCGTCCATATGCTGGTCTCACATGAAACGGAATCTCAATTACGCGCCACCAATCATCGCCATCCTCTCCGTTCAATCTGGCGATCGGCGGTTAGTACGCGTACTCTTATTGGCAATATTATCATAAGCATATATCTGGCAGAAGTCGTCTTATCACACAACGAATGCTCGTTGTTGGCCCGCGATCGGTGCGTGCGTGTGCGTTTTGGGGATTAATCGATTTAACACGATTCTCCGAATCGCAACGGCGCGGATGTGTTAACGGTCCGCGTGTGTCGCAGATAACATCGGACACGGTTTCTCCGTCGCCGTTCACGAATTATAATTGGTCCGTAATTAATGACACTGTCGATATTGACAGGTGGGGACGGGGCGGCGTCGAGGGACACAGCCGACAGCCTGTGTCGAGACGTTCACGCGAGCGGCGCGAATTACGCGCCCGGCCCCAGGACTCCGCGCCCCTTGATCCCTTTTTCAGGCTCTGCTTAATTTCAGACTTAATTACCTCCGATGTTACAGCATAATCACCACCGATCGCGGATCGATCGGTATAGATACCGGCTTATACAGTGTGTCCTAAGCATTTTTCCAAACTTTTGATATAGGGGAAAGATGTCTAAAACGATCCCTTTAAGGCGTAATTTATATAAAAAATACAAATGCTCATTATTTAAATAAAAGTAAAGTAGTTTTTGTAAATTAGTCTATATCTATCTTATCATTGGCTTAAATAAAATTTAGCTAGGTACGTGATCAATTATATTTTTTATTCACATTTCTTTGAAGGCATACGGGGGAGTTCGAGCATAATGCATTTCTGTTTTAAGTACTTTCATTACTTCAACATGGTCTTTAATTGTTAAATACATTTTTTCAATATATATTGTTATTAAGTGCAGGTAAACACTCCCTATTAAATATTTATCTTTCAGAATTTATAACTGCTACTAAATTCGTACAGAACATAATTTCAGAAAGCATAATAAGAAACAGAACACATAGGAATAAACGTCGTTGTAAAAAAAAAAGGTAAATTCATTATTATAAATCCTAAAAGATTCTAAATGTCATACATTTCTATAAATGATTGCAAAAAACAACAGTTCAACGTGCTTCTTATCTCAAACGATGATTAAACCTTTCGTAATTCTACACGATGCCAATAAAAAGAAGGACGGACTTCTTACAAGCACCTGAGCAGAATTATTTGAAAACCGTTCATCTCGATACTATCTGAAACAGGCATTACCGTCATCTAAAATTAACATCTCGAGACATAATTTCATCAAGAATGCAGAATCTCGCGAAATAAAACGATCGTGGTTCAGGGTATTGAAGTACACTTCTGTTTTCTTCGTATCATAATACTTATTATTCACTAATGATACTTGTCCAATGGCGTTTTCTTCTCATTAAAAATGCACGTGTATGAGTGTGTGTGTGTGGAGTTTTGATCGGTCGGTTATCTGTGTGTATCTGTGTGTGCTTTTGTGTTCTGAGATGCGAATTGGGGCCCTAACGCGAGTCACGGGCCTTGAGTATGCGCAAGTAAAAATTAATTACGAAGAGAAGGACGGGAATATATATATATATATATATATATATGTATGTATATCGATACGACCGTGTACGGTTTTCGATTCGACTGGGCTGTCGAACCGTGGGGAGGGGAGGATATCGAAACGAACGTATGTATGTACAAATCGTCACAATGCGTTCGGCCCCGATATAACAGTTTACAAAAACCTATTATTAACCCGCGTTATAACGTTCAACAAACACAGCCCTCGGGTAGAAACTTAGAGTACGACTATCAACGAAGATCGTTCGATAATAACGGGATCGAAAAACGTGTTTCCGTGCGATTACCCCAACAACATACTTAAAATACAGTTTAACATAGCCGTCTACGAATTACGATGTCTCGAGATAGAGAGAGCTTAAAAATACATTTTTACGACGCGAGATGCACACTACCGTGTTTTGTAAAATTGAACAGACAATGGAACGTGTGTGCTTTCAAGCGTTCTCGTCGCGAAGAGCCAGGTCGAACGATCTTTTTTTTTTTCGTATCCCCTTTGCAGTTGGATCGCGATTTTGATTTGATAATTTTTTTAATATTACGCTCACACTTGACCGTTCGAGTCAAACTATAATATATGTTGGATCTCTTCTTCGTAGAGACAGTACAAGGATATATTAGAATCGATGGTTTTGTACTTATTAATATACTTAAATTATTTTATTATTGAATCTGTAGATATCAAGCTTATCATTTATTATGCGGGACCTTACGCGGATGTAGTGATTTTAACTATAGTCTCGGTCACTTATTCTCGTCGTTAAAGATTTGATTAGTATATGGAATTACTTCTACTGCTCGGTGAGAAGAATCATATTATTTTGTTCAAATGAATTGAAACATTAAATTCAACCAAACGCGATATTGTATGAAAAGATATTAATTCGAAGTTAATATTCGAGATCAGCAAGAGACGAGCAAATCGAAATTACCTATGAAGAAACCCATGAATTATATCAAAGACGCGAAGTTTATCGGTCTTAAGGTGCGTATCTTCGTATCGTATCGCCCGTCCGCATTGATACACAACGATGATATGATCCAAGGATACGCAGTAAGTGGATCAGCACCTTTAAAGTGACTTGGCACACACGAAACGTGATTTTCCTAATTAAACACCGCAATTCTGAAACCTGATGGTTAAATATTATTGTGCGCCACGTTGTAAAAGATTGTCTCATCGATGAATTTCGAAAAATTCACCAATTTAAAATTCAAAAGTGCCATCGAATCACACTCATCGCCCAAAAATTCATTCTCCAAGAAGCTACAGTAAACGATTCAAAGAGAAGACACTTTGAACTCTCTCGAGGTTATAATCTCGTGCCAGTTACTAACAATAGAAAGAAATAACTAACAGAACCAAGTCGACATTCCCACAAGAATCTTCACTTCACCACCCCCATCCTCCATCGATTCCAACTGCAAAGGTTTAGCCTCCGTCCATCGCGCAGAAACCACCGACGTATTACCGAAAACACAACGTGCTACCACAAGAGGCGAACGAGCAATCTTATCAGCCTGCGTCTACTTTGAAAACCGTCGAAACAACGGGACACCGTGGTTCCTTGCACACCGAGACTTTGCATGAAAAAAGATCGAGATCTCATCGAAGAGAAGCCGCGACACACATGGTACAATGCGCGTCGACTTTCATGTGGGACAACGATTATTAACTATCGTAATATGGTGTATACTCGCCTAAAATCGGTTGATATCGGTAAATGACTTAATAAATTCCGTTAATATCACAACACAATTACGGAAACGGACACGGCTCACTTGATCTCGTACGCGCCGAGGTTCCCCTTGCGTCTCCTGTAGACGGTCCCGCCTGTGGACGTTTCGTTGACGCGGTCCTCTTGGACGATCGATCGTTTCACGTTCGTCCGGTAGCCGTCCTCGTACGCGTTCAGATACAGATTCTTTAGAAATATTTGATTATCGAGCTCGTACAGTGGCAGGAAACGTTTCGAGCGGCTCTGCTGTTGGGCTTCCAGCTCTCTGAACGTGAACAGCCTGTTCTTCTCCTCGTCGTAGGCCGCCTGCCTCGATCGTTTCGCGGCGCGACGTACGCGCCTCGATGAGCTTTCATTCTTGATTAGTGGCTGATGATTTAGCGACAGGAGTCGTCGTTTTTGACGGGGAGGACCAGCGTCCTCCGACGCGTTGCGTATCCGCTTGCTACGGTGCTTAGGCTGTCCCTCTTTCGCTAGGATCTCGTTGTCCAGGACCGAGGACTCTTTACTTGGGTTCGTCGAGGATCGATTGTCGTGAGCCTCGAGATCTCTGGGCGTTGCTAGCGTGGTGCTTGTGGTGCTTGTGGTGCTGGTCGTGGAAGTGCTCGACGACGTAGCTGCACTCACCGACGTCGACGAAGATGTCGCGGTCGTAGCCTCGGACGATTCGTCCTCCGTGCTGTTCAGTTTAGCCTCTATGATATGTTTGAAGAACGCGTACATCTCGCCCACGGTGAACGTGGTCCCGTTCCGTACGGTGAACTTGTCGATCTTCATCCTCTTGATCAGCTCCTCCGTTGCGTTTCGAGCCTCCATCATGGACAGCTTCTCGGTGACGTAGCTGTTCACGAACTCGTAGAAGCCTTTGTAGTAGTTCTTCCTGTGCTTCTTCTTGTCCTTTGACTTTTTACCCCTGCTGTCGCCGTGGGATTGGCCCTTCCTCTTCGAATCCTTGCGATTTTGTTTCTCGTTCCAGCGCATCGATTTGTTATAGAACCTCATGATCTTCTCGAACTCCCGCTTCAGCTTGATGAATTCCCTTTGATTATGGATCTCGAACTCCGTTCTTCCTCGGCTCGAATTGTTTCGACGGGACTCTGACAGGTCCACGTGGAAGAAGTTCTTGCTCATCGCGTTTAGAAGGTCGTGCATGCTACCGTTCGTGGTGTTGCTCGACTGTCTGGCGTCGATACGCTGCAGCTTACGGTAGACGATCTTCAGGAAGTCGATCATCTTCTCCTCGCGAAGCTTCGAACGATTCCCGTGGCCGGAATGCTTCTTCAATGACAGACCCTCCGTGGAATTGTCGTGACGCGTGGAGTTATCGATCTTCTCGGCTTTGTGCTTCCCGTGATCTTTGCCTTTGTTCATTTCCAAGTGCAGAAGCTTCTTGCCGATCTTCCGGAAGAGCTCGATGAATTTTCTGAAAGAAGAAGTGGGCCGTTCAGTAGTCAAGAAGGAAGTCAAGCTCTTCCTAGGAAAATGTACTTTGAACACCAAAGGGTGCTTGAAGCGACTCCTTTAGCATCCCTGTTTTCGATAGTATTGTAAACATATATGTAGCCCGCTTATTATATAAGAAAATTTCGTTTGGATTCACGTTAATATTGAAGAATTCTGATTTATACCTGTAACTCATGGTGAGATCCTCGTCGCTAACAGATCTTCGACGTCTGCTCCACCGCAGCCTAGGGTGTTGTCCAGGTATACACTTAGGCAGGTCCTTGGGGCTCCAGTTTCCCCCGATGCATGTAGCTCCAGTCGGTCCCTCATCCAATACGTAACCCTTGTCACAGTCGTACATGATCTGCTTGTTGTTGACGACCTTCTTCACGTACGGTCTATAATCATAGACGCCCATGTTGCCCACCAGGAACACTTTCCCGTTCTCGATGAATCCAGGAAAGGGGCAAAACACCTGGCTGCAGTGTGGAATATCGCCTGTCCAGTTCCCGTACTGGCATTCCACCGATCTGGAGTTGTTCAACGGGCCACCACCGATTAGCTCGAAACCGTCCTTGCACTTAAAGACAGCCTTCATCCCGTGATCGGTCTTGGGCGCTATCACCATCCCGTTTCTCGGTGGTTTGGGCATTTGCTTGCACCTAGCCGGTGAACAACTGGGAACTATCGACCAGGTACCGTTGTTACACATCACTGGCGTGCTGTTCGCGGCGAACTCGTAATTCTGCACGCAGGACACCAACAGTCGTTCGCCGTGCTCCACGACGGTGACGTTGTTGATGTGATCATTCTCGTGGCTGGCCACGGTGATGTTACCGTTTTCAATTTGCGGGACCACGCACGGCGCTAGGCATTGCGGCAACGGGTAACGCCATTTCCCATCGGCCTGGCAGACGGACGAGGTATTTCCCTCGAGCTTCATGTGATCCTTGCACCGGAAAATTATGCTTGCGCCTAAACCCGTGCCTGTCGGGAGAAGTATTTCGCTGGATTATTAGGTTCTTCTGAATTTAATGCTTGGCTTCCTGCAAGCTCCGATATTCACGGAATCGTAGAAGTCGAATCATCTTTGATTATTTTCTATACTTTCGAATAGAACAACCGAAGATGTGAAGAGAACAAACCGAATTGTGTTTACGTTGGGATCAGGATCGCCGACATAGAATGCTTTTATTTTTACACGATAGAATTTATTTATAACGCAGTGGTAAAGTTTCTTTTTTTAATCTTCCATCTTACCAGCGTCGATATTATCAATCCAGCCGTTATAGAGAACGCCAGGTGAACCGCAATTAATCTCCTGGCAAGTGGGCATCTTTCCAGCCCATTTTCTGTCAGCTCCGCACCTCCTCGTCCCCGCGCCAACCACCGTGTACCCGTAGTCGCATTCGTAATGCACGATGGAATTGTATGCATACGAGGTGAACACCGCCTTCCCGTTTTCAGGGTTTTCCGGTCTGGGGCATTGCACCGTGGTAACCTGAGGAGGAAAACGTTTCCACGTTGGAACGTGTACGGATAAGGAAGTTTCATGGAGTCATGATGGAGTCGTGGGACTTTTGTGGGATCATCAATGCTACGAAATAAGAAAGTAGAGAGAATTTCGGTAATTCTATTAGGCTTTCTTAGACAGTTCTGTGGCTTGCCCATGTACAATGTGATTGAATATTGTTACTTGTATCTTCTCATAGAAAGAAAAAGCTCAATTTGCACAAGTTTACATGCAAATAGGGGTTTCGTGAACAACGTATGTATAGATGTTCATTATGCCAAACGACTTTTTCTTTTTTTCGGTAGAAAAGGTAATAAAACATTGGTATCTGAAATGACACGAACTTTTTCGGACAACCAAATATACATACAGGAATAACCAGTGAATTGTAGATTCATTTCAAACGGAATATTTCATTGTAACACATAAATAAATCAAATAGGATTGAATAAGTGCTGGAAGAAATGATAGAAATTTCTGATAACCCGAATATGATGATGATGTGTGACATATAAATATACTGAAAATAATAACATTGGGTAATGTATCGGAGATAAAGGATGATCGACTTAGCTACTGACAGCATCATTCATGGAACGCTTACTTGGACGCATTGTGGTGATTCCTTCGGGGTCCATGTGCCGTCTGCCAAGCAGAGCTTTTCGGCTTTGCCAACTAATTCGTAGCTGTCCGCGCAGTGATATGATACATGGCATTCGTATGTATAACACTCGCCTTAAAAAAACAAAATGAATTCGTTGTATATCATGAAAAAATGATACATTACGCTCTTCGAGAATTAATAAGATAAAAATCTAAATTCTATCACTTTTCTATATAATTAATAATACTTTCTATTGTGTGACAAATTGTTCTATGATTCGAATAAGATTCTGAGTCTCGATCTAACACGTACACCGGGCAAAGAAATGTATCTCTTCATCCCCGTCTCTTGCTGTCGATTAATAATACTAATTTATTAGAGTAACAGTAACGCACAAAATTTATTAAATTAGACTCTACTACCAGAGGAAGTTAAAATTTTATAAGTATGACAGAGTAATTTTTAGTCCAAGCTTGCACTGAGAATTCTATTAACAATTGAAAGTAACATCAGCAAAGTACAAGTAGAGTGTAGAAAATTAAAAAGTTTGATCCTGGATGTTGGACATATTTTTCAGAAACATTTCTTTGACCATGGTATTTGAAATTGTAATAATAAACTAATATAGTATGTTTAAATCGATAAAATATCTTTCAAATTACCAACAGCAACAAATTAGTAATAGCGTCGTAGCGCACGGTGCATAATAACCGAAGTGTATAAAACATCAGTAGAACTCCCCATTAAGACAGAGCCACACACTCAAATTACTATCAAGCAGAGTGCTTTCCGACAGTAACGAGCGTACTTACATTTTCAGAATTACAAAAATTCCTTCAGTTTCACCCCGAAATATTTCCATTCCGCGATCGTCATACACCCAACGAAATAACGAAATTCCTCGACAACCGTTTACAACCACGCGAAAGCGAATCCTACTGAACAGAACGAACAGAAAGGAGGCGGTACTGTTTATCAATAGCATGTACATACCGGCGTGCCATCCGTTCGCGATGTCCGCCGGTGGTCCGCAGTTCTGCGGCTCACAGGTGATATCCGGCCCGAACCAACTCGCGGCACCCTCCATCAACAGGCACTTGGCCTTCTTTGCCCCGGCGGTTACGTATCCATGATTGCAAAAATACTGAACAACGCTGTCCAGATCAAAGGTCGTTTGTTCAGCAAGAGCGTTATGCCGCGCGTTCTTCACTTTTGGCGGTTGGGAGCAAAAGGAGCTCTGATCCTTCTTGCACGACGGATTGGTGCCAGTCCAGTGACCGTCTGCCCTACAAGTTATCACGGCAAGACCGACAGTGAAATAATCAGGATCGCAGGTGTAATGCGCTCGATCCCCAAAGAATCTCCGTGTCACCGTCAAGACACCGTGTGGGATATCATTCAGAGCTGGACATTCCCTCTCTGGCTTGATACAAGACATCCCGCAGGCACCGTCGCATCTGCACTTCTTCTTCTTGCTCTTGCAGTCCTCATCCGTGGAGCACTTTCTCAGACACTTCTGGCCAAGCAGCATTGCCTCTTGTTCGTCCCTTGGACACATAGCCGACGGTGAGTTGCGTGGATTTTTGTAGATACGTCCGTCGTCGTCGACCTCTGGCTTTGGTTGGTAATCATCGTCGTCGTCGTCGTCGTCGTCGTCGTCCCAATCATCGTCATCGTCGTCGTCATCATCCACCGCGGCCTGTTGCCGTAACTTCGACTCGGACGCGAGGAACAGGGAGCATAGGAATAGCAACAGAAGAACCGAACTGGGTCTCATTTTTCAAAGTCTCTCTTAAAGAACACACTGGTGGAAAAGACACGAAAACTTGCGTGTTTCACTGGCCGATAGCACGTTGTTCATATGGCATTTTGGACGAGAAATAGGGACAGTTCGACGGGTTTGTTGTACGTATTCACAAGGTACCGATGGACCATCGATGCACCCAGGGTTCCGCGATGCCTGTGGAGGTTAAAGCACCACTCTCATACCGCGGCCACACCGGTGGAGGACGACGTCGTTTCTCTCGCGACCGTGACTATTAATCGAGTCTGCCTCTTCGGCGTCCAGGAGGATTAGGACGGCGCGTGTGTTCTCTCTCTCCGTTACCGCTCGCCGCCTCTCTGTTCCCCTAACTCCGACGGATTTTTTTCTTTATTGTGCGGACTGCGGCCCCGTGCTGCCGGGAATTCGCGGATACTCGCGCATCTCTGCACGCGCATTCAGCCTGTGTTCAATACATCTCCTCACTCGTGCAGCTTCCAGCAGATGGCGAGGGACAGGGGGTGGTAAAGCTTTCGGAGTTGCGCAGAAATCGACGACCGCCAGACACCTCTCGTTCGACCGTGAGTACACGAACAGGAGAGTGGGAAGGGAGGGTGGGGGAGCTGAGGGTGGTTTCGATGGGTTTTATACACGGTTACGATCGGATACAATCGCCTTTGATGTAAAAAAAGAATAATGGAAACACTGTATACTGTGACAAATAATAGCAGGCGTTCGTTCTTCGATTGTACAGAGGTTGTTCCGGAAAACGTGTGAAGCAAATAGGAGGATTTGTTTTAAATTACGTTTCTGCAGTAAGATTCTGGTTTAGAGGTTTGAGAATTATTAATGGGAAGTTGCTGCGATGAGAAGCGGATGAAATTTTTTGTGTAAAGCATCCGTATGATGAATCGTTAGGGGGTGATCTCATTAAATTTTATTCACTGTAATAATTGGATACACATTGATACATTTGCCTCTTAAAAAATAACAAGTGCACTATAACGTATAGTATCGCACTATAGTATCACATAAAAAAGTAACAAATAATATAAAAAAATAAAATACAATTAATTTTTATTTTTATTAACAATTATAAATATTTACAGTGCAATAGTATCATTTATTTTAGTAATACCGTAATATAAACTGTTAAGTAAAAGGTGGAAACAATAACGCCACGGTAGTGTCTGTTTCCAACAAGTAGAAACAGACAGTTATGACCAGACACGTTGGTAAAGTGGTATTCACTGTCACGCGAATACATACTCCGGAGATTTTCGAAGTTCATTTTCGATCCAATTTTTCGTAAACGAAAATCTCTTATTCCGTTCTACTGTATTCTATATTCACAGGGTATCGATAACTAACAGGTTATAAGAGTCAGTTTATTATTAGTAATTCCTTCCTTCGGAACTTAGTATTAAAAAAATAAACTAATTTTTTCATCTTCAATTTTTATATACGTAACGAATATTAGAAGGTGAAGTATTTTCAATACCAATTGATATAAATAAATAAACCAATTTCATAGTGCGATTAATTCAGTAATAACAAGTGATCAAACATATCTACAATAAAAACGGTAAATCAGCCATTTATTCTGTACAGTGTAGAATATGAACTATAACACGTCCAGTTTTTATTTCACAGTACCTTGATATTCCTATTTTCAAACATGGATGCCATAATTGCCTAAGAAAAAGGTATTTCATAAAATTAAAGCAAATTTGAAAATGCAGTGGTTCCGTATACAGAGCGTGGTCCACGCCACTGGCATAAATTCCACCTCTTGTACCATTATTTCCATCCACAAAATGCAGTTACAGTTCATTTAAAATAAAACTGAGAGCTCCTTTTTGTCGCTCTAAATATGAAATACAAACCGAGACTTTTCGCGAACAGAACACTTTAAGAAACCTTTTTAAATCTTTCAACATCCGAACAATTTTACGAATCTTATTTTCTGGCTTCTCTGCTCGCGTCTCTTGCCTCGAGTATTTCTTTCTCTGGTATATACATAAACCAGAGTAAATGAACTCCACCGGGGCAACAAATATTCCCCCGTCCGCTCCCAGTGCCGTGGAATAAAATTTCGCGGTATCTTTCCGCCAAAGAGCTTGCTTTCACAATGCCACTCCTACAATTCCGCGAGCGGCAACAACGGGATTTTCTCGCTAAGCAGTTCGACCAGCGATTTCATTTCCTACAGAACCTCCGAGCTCGATTAGGGTAAATTCGATCATAATAAACCAGCCAAAGCACCTGTCACTTTATGTGGCGACTCTCCTCGTTTTATGGAAGAGATGCCTCATTTCGAAAAAACAAACTAAGAATATAGAGGATGTAAGAAAAGTATTGAAAGGACGCAACATGTGTAATTATCTTTTTTCAATCGAAAGATATTCCAAATGTGACGTCTCTCCCCATATGGCGTCCCACCTGAATTTACCCAACAGACATTATCATATCGCGCTCACGGAAACGTTACCCTTTGGAAATGTGCCGAAAACCATTTTCGAAACGGTCCCGTTAACGCGTCAAGTCACGAAACCCCAGGCGTCCACCTGCAGCCACTTTCTAGCCCGTTTACGCGTGATTCGCCAGCTCGGACAAATTGGAGGACCGCTTCGGGTTCCGATCTTACTGGCCCAATTCACGGGGACCGGCATCCGGTAATCGTGGCAACTTCCTGCTCGATCGAGCTGAACCGAAACGTTTCGCCTGTGATTCCGCTTGATCCTCGCGTGACGACCGAACGTTAGGATTCGAACCATCGACGAAAGAATGTGTTCAGGTAGAAGACTTGATTGGAGAACGTAAAAGTGTTTGAGTAGACTGGGGATTTTATACGTTTACAGTTGACGCGATGGTATACCATTTTTAGTTACATTAAAAAGTGTAAACAATTTTTAAAACGTCTTATTATGCATGTATTGATCTTTGGAGGACTTGTTCGCTTCTGAAACGTTCAAAGTTACCTTTAAAAGTGAATAAGTCCTGTAGGATAGATATTTGCAGAAAAGTTACTATTTAAAAATACATAAGTCCTTTAGGATCCATAATTGCATAAACCTCTGCACGGTCTAGTCATAAGCTACAGTGGTATCACCTTCTGGGGTGACAGCGCTGCAGCTAAATAGTTAATACATTTGTAAACTGACAGTCATCAACGGATCCCTGTATCTAATTGACGATCTAGTTACATCGTTTCTATCCATGATTGCTATTTCCTCCGTAAATTGTTTCACGTTATTATCATTAAACGATGGAATTATACCACAGCAGTAATCGAAAATCCAATTAACGGAATTAATTGAGGATTCAGTTACTATGGAAAATGGTCCATGTTCACCAATTAGCATTTTCCTACCTAACTGAAATCCCCATTAGCCTGGAAAAGTATTATTTTTCAATTCCAGAGGATATATTTTGCATGATAAAGCAGCGATTCGCTGAACGAAGAACACCAGATAGTATCGAGGGCGTGGGTAGTAGCAGGATCGGTTTTCAACGGACATAACTCGATCTTACGTGGCTTGTTAACCACGGCCACGTGGTACGTAATCCCCAATTCCCGAAGTTAGCCGCGTCGTTAGAGTAAGCCCGTGTCCTGTGCCCCATTGTCTTCGTAACGATCGTAATCAATCGGTACGGTTCGATGCGTCGACTCCACGCTGTAGGTGATCCCTGGACCCCAATCTCCAGGCATATATCTCAGCTCACGGTGTGTGTGTGTCTCCCAGGATGTCTTCATTTGTCTTATTCAAATGAGACGCCTTGGGACGGCCTTCGAATTGTCTGATACCGGGACGATGCTGCTGTCGCCACGAACGAATGAACAGGGGAATCCCTTTGCGACCTCTTGCCTCGGATTTTTCGCATTGAAAGACTAGCTAGCAGGCTATGTCTCCAGTGGGCGAGATGTGGCGTGGAATCGGGTCACTCGCGACTGTTACCATTGTGGTCACGAAAAAATGTCCTCGTTTGGAATTGGAAGAGTAAATTGCGGCAAATGTAATTACTATAGAATACTTCAGTGACACTTTTAAGCGATATTAATTCACCAACTGACGTGACGTGGTTCTTGTTTCTAGGGTGACCCTAATTTCATGCTTTGTTAAGGTGAATCAGTATTATCAAGTGTACCAATATTTGAGAGCGGCCATTCTCTGTATACCAATTTAGAAGAGACTACTCCAGTAATCGATACCAGCGGAGAGTCTGTTTCAAAGGAACAGACTATCTATGTTTATTCCTATTATGGCCATAGAGAAGGATCGATAGATTCGAGATCAAAGGGGTGAAATTGTGGCATTGATTCTACTCGGGGTTGCGGTGAAACAAAAATTCCACTCCAAACCTTATACAATATAAGGATGAAATTTTTTATATAATTCGATATTTCACGAGTTAAAATTCCTCTGTTAAAAACACATAACCGTTTTCAAGATAGTTCGAATATTTTATTAAAGAAGAATGTTCCTCTCGGTTAATAATGGATCGCACATCTTCAAAATAAATGACACGGATGTTAAAGTTCTAGGGTTCTGTTCATTAACATCGGCGTTACAATAGGGCATCAGCAATGGAGATTACTACCCCAGGAATGTATTCAAACAGTTTCTTCGAACTAATTTCCAAGGCTGATCGCGTTCGCGCAACATCGTGGGATACAAACGACGCGCGAGACTTTTCCTCTCGGTCGCCACGGCGCGAACGTCCGCCACGGAGTGGTTATTCATTGTCGGGTGTGTATCTTCGTTTAGACGGGAACGTCAGGTGAGATTGACAGAGTGGCAGTAACTCGGTAGCTAAAAATGGGAGTGGCTGAAAGACGAGAGGACAGCTCGCTCGGTGACATCGCCGCGGCGGTTCTTCGCGAGATCTTCGGGGCCAAGGAGTAAGGACGTAAAGAGACAGAGGTTCTCAACCGGACGTGAGAACTTTTTGTTTAAATTTACAAAGAATGAAATAGGGTGAATGCACCAGTGAATGAACATTGTATATAAAAA